GACCTTGCGCTTGCAAGGCAGGTGCTGGAACCAGTGAGCTAAATCCCTGGCCCTGGTAATTCTTATTTTAGTTACTGCAAAGGAAGAAAATTCTTGATTTTTTTTCAGTTAATGAGAGCATATAGTACTTCCATTCCTTACTAGTTCTAGGAAATTTTTCCTCATTAGATATGGATGTATGAACAGTCCAACCTTAACATCACCATGAAAGAATGTGGGGGATATGATTTGTAGAAGGTGAGTCAGCCTACGTACATGAGTGAGTTGATGCCCAGTGAGTCAAGAGACCAGCATTCTCAGTTCATCTCAGTCCCTGACCCAAAGCACACTGCTGAGCAATTATACTCGATCATGCACCTGTATCAAAGCTGTGTGCCAAAAACAATGAGATCACATTTAAAGGTAAAAACATTAAGCTCATAAGAGTAAAGATCTTTTGCAGGTTTCAAGTACAGTATGATAGTACTCTGCACCTGGGATAGCAAAAGTGTGGAAGACTGGATGAAAGTTCCTGACATCCATCACAATAAGTGCCAGCACTGAGATGACTGTATTTGAGGGTAGTAAACTCTGTATGGGAAATATGTGTAGAGTTTTACAGGAGCTTCTAGCAGAGCAGAGAGAAAGTTAATATAATTTATCCCAGATACACCCTTAAAAGGCTATTTCTATTCTCCTACCCTATTTGGTACATATCAACAAAGTCTGAAAAACCCATTAGAAAATATGTCAGGGCTATAATACTAATAACTAACATTTATTGAGTTTACTATATCCCAGCCCCATTCTAAGCATCTTATATGTATTTGTGCACCTAATTCTCATAGCCCTCGAGACTAGCAGTGGTAATAGCAGTACTTTCCAAATGAGAAAACAGGTTTAGTGAGATTAAATAACTCCAGCAGCTGAGTTCATAAGGCCATTGATCTTCTGTCTGTAACAAGTGCTGGGATGTTTCCTTTGCTGAGATGTTGACTACCTCCACAACTGTCTGTTGCTTAATTTGACCACTGTATATCCTTGAGGGTAAAACAAACACATGAGATTAAGAGATTATGTAAAATGTTGCTTTTGAAAATTAACTCCTGCAGCAGAAATGCCTTGAGCATTTCAGACCTATCAGACAGGGGAATTGGCTCAGGTTGCAAATAGATGATTAAATCATGGTCCCTATACTCAAAATCCACAGACCTGTTAATGCAAATAGACATAAACCAATAAATCTAATAAGACATTCTAGAGAAGCATGGCGGTATAGGCACGGGCACTCTGTCTCTTTCCCCCATCCCACAAGCTGACTGATTGCCCCAAGGGATGTGCTAGTGGAAGAAATCTTTTATTTTCCCTAGGAAAGAGGGAAGTAAGGCGCTGCTAGCACCGGGGGAGGGAGGGGGGCTCGCGGCAGTGTTCTACTAAGTTTATTGCACATGAAACTAGAGAGATCTGTCACTGGAGTCAAACCCCTCTTCTGAGTATATAAGGCTTTCCAAAAATTAAGTAGGACCTATCCTGATGGGGTTTTGCTAAGTCCCCACATGTGATGATTGAGAGCTGGAGACACAAACTCAGGGTAGGAGTCACAGGCTATATCCTGCTGCAGACTTCAAAATGACAGCAGCAAGATGCATAAATTTAGCAGGTTCTGTATAGCAATGTGGCCAGGAAGCCATGGGATCCTGGAGGGCAGAGAAAATCCCAGGGGAGCAAAGGATGGGGTGAAACAGGAAGACATTCCAGGGAGGGTTACAGTTTTACTGAAAGTCTAGAGCTATGGAACACTGCAGAAGAAACAGTGGAAGCTCAGAAAGATCCTAAGCAAGATTATTCGGGGTGCAGCGTGATGATGTGAGGGAACAAGAGGTGACTAAGACTTGACAGAGATACAAGGTAAGCTGCATAGTGCACCACACAAGAGGCAGAGCAGAATTGAGCTGAGGCAAAAATGAAGGAAGCTGAGGAGAAGGTAGAGCAGAGATAAAGCAAGTGGATAGTGAGGCCAGAGGAGAAGGTACAATGGAAACAGAGGGCCAGGCTGAATAATGACACAGATCACTGCTGGCAAAGTAAAATGAGGGACAGATTTGAAAGGGAGGGTGGTGCTTTCCCTATGGGGCCAGGTAGGTATGTGGTGGATGTATAGGGATACAACAGGAGAGAGTTGAGTGTATGATTTTATTGCTCAGATGAGATGTATGTGGAGGGACCTGTCCCAGCCCTGTTAGAAGGAGCCTGGCCAATCAGTCATCTTGTGCACATGTTTTGGGGAAGTGTAAGCCTACTGTGGCTAGACAGTAAAGAGGCCATTGATGGAAATTTACAGTTCACAGAGGACAGTTCACAAGTTTAATCCTTAGGCATGCTTTTTCAGCACTCATATTTTTTTATACAAAGATCTCTCTTTTCTGTTTTTACACCCAGGGAAATCCCTCCCTCCTACCATTGATTGGCTCCAGGCCCAACGAAGCAGTGCATAAAAATCTTTTATGGTGATTCCATCTTCACATGCTGATTACACATCTTCTCTGCTCTTGACATATAGCCACACAAATGCCACTTCTGTCTTCTAGTTGTCAAAAATGTATGTCAGATCATGTCACCAAGACCAGACCTTGTAAGTGAAATAAACAGGACACACATGTGTAAATACTGAATAGTTTCTCTAGTGTGAGAAACTGAAAGTGTAAATAAGGACTAAAAGGTATAATAGATAATGTGAAATAGGAAGAAAAGGGGTAAAGAGGAAGGGGAAGTGGGAGGGGTAGGGGAAAGGAAAGAAGGGAATGGAATTAATATGAGAAAATGAAAAAAAGGAAACAAAGTCTTTGTAAATAGGGAGGGATGGAGAGGTTGAAGGGAGGGCAGGGGAAGGGGTAAAAATAAGAACCAAGAGAATATGTAAAGGTGCATATCTCCAATGATGAATGTCATTATATTGTATACCTAAAATGTACCAATAAAAGGATATACAAAAAAAAAAGACCAGACCTTGTACCAACTTCCATAAGGAATACAAACATTATGTACTACAGATATGGATTAATAAAAAGTAATGAAAAGAAAAAGAGAGATACTGACTTAGCTAACAAACAGATACAAGCACTGAGTAAATTGTCAGAATGCTTATGGGGAAGAGAATCGTGCAAGTGAATCTAACAGAATGCAATTGAATCTGCATTGCTTGTTAAATGACAAATTGTTGATACCTAAGCAAGACCTTCAGGAAGAAAAAGAGTTCCTCTGCAGCTCCCTCACACACTGTAATAGACACCCTGGTGACCCGAGGTTTCCATCTGTTCCTGAGATGAATGCTTGTTGGGCTGACGTTGTCTGATTAGGAATCCAACCTGGGAATAGCAATGACAAGTCTCCAAAGGTCAGAGTTGTCGTAACTCAGCCTCCATGAGTCAGCAATCCTTCCAGATTCAAATCAGAAATAAATACTTTCATTAGGAAATCTTTGGAAGTCCCCACATGGCTGTATTCCTGTGATGAGATCTCAGGGACATTTCCTAATTAGCACAGAAATAGAGATGGGCCTAAAATGGCCATCATCTGGCCCAGGGAAGAAAATGCTTTCCGTGGGTACCCTGGCGCCTGCCTAAGAATCCTAAACTCAGGAGGCAAAGGGATCCCCTAAAGACAATGCCAGAAGTCATTTAGTTGCGATTCAACAGTGTGGTCTGAACGGAAAATGTCTCCGAGATGAAGAATGCCGACCAGTCATGTTTATACAAGCTTCTCCTTAACACAAACTTTCCAAACCCTGCATGATATTAGGGTTTTATTAATATCTGGGAAATTAGCCACACCCATCAAAAAGCTCCTAATTTGTCTCTCTGTAGATTCAAAATTTATCCATGAATATCAGCATTTGAGAGTACTGGAGATTTCTTGTGGTTTTTCTAGATTAGCTATTAGAGGCTCAAGATTTCCAGTTATGTTACTGATTTTCAATTCTGAGTTCCTATTACTCCAAATAGTTCCTTTCTTCCCTCACACAAAAGCAGAGGAGACAGCCAACTCTCTGTCGGTGTTAGCTTTGGTTTACTTCAGAAAGTTTGGAAAAATTCAAGAGAAAAGAATGGTTCAAGAAAAGAGAGGAAGCAAGGAAATTACATTTTCACTGAATACCATATGACAGTTTCAGATTAGTAAGATCTTGTGAAGAAGCAGGGGAAAAAAGGTGTTTAGTCGAGGTAAGTGACTACAGCAAAGAATATGGAAGAGCAGGTGAAGAATTAGACCAGATTCCTGGAATCAGAAGCAAACAATATGTTATGTTCTAAGAAAACATAATTATTAGTGGGTATCTTTTTGGCATTTATGGTATATTTTGTTTATCCTTAGATAATAAGGCACTATCTTACAGTGGTCAATGGTTTAGAGTACTTTTTAGTGGTTTATAATGTCCAAAGGTTTCCTGCATGCATATGCCTGTGTGGGTGTGTGTGCATGTGTGTATGACTGAAGAAAGCAGACCTTTTTGAAAATATCCAAAGTAAATAAGGATCAGCTGCTAAATGCCTAGAGCCAATTCCATTACACACATAAATAGACCATGTAAGAATTTTGTGGTGTCGTATTTAACTAGCGTGACTAAAATAGACCCACTCTGTAAACTCATTTTCTCACTACTGTATGTTGTTTGTTGGGCACCAGCTGAATTACAGAAGAAATAAAATGCTAGAAAACTTCTGCCTTATTCTGTAGCTACTAAACATAACTCCATTAGTGGAGTGGAATTAACTCTTTAGTTCTCACTGCCAGGTTTAGAGCAAAGTTCCAGAAAGCCACTTCCTAGGGCAAGTCAGTCTGTGGTTTGGGGTGAGTCCAGCAGTATACTCTGCAGAAGGGGAAATAAAAGCATTTGTTCAGATGGATAGTTGGCCCATTTGAGGCTGTGGCTGTTGGTGATAAAATGCTGGTTAAGTGGACATGGAACACCAAAAATAATACATCATTTATCCCCCAAACAGTGTTTGTTTTTTGTTGTTTTCCAGGGAGCAACCATGTCACCATTTCTTCGAATTGGTCTGTCCAACTTTGACTGTGGGTCCTGCCAGTCTTGCCAGGGAGAGGCTGTGAACCCTTACTGCGCTGTGCTTGTGAAAGAGTATGTTGAATCAGGTAAGCGTGGTGGGGGAAAGGGAGGAGGCTTTCTAGAACTTTCAAGGTCATCTGGTTCAACTGAATTTTCCAGCTCAGAACATGGTTGCCAGTCAAACCAAGTACTATATGAAGATGCTTTAAGCCAGAGCCTTGTGACCCATTGTACTATTTTGTCTACATAAGCAAAGACAAGAAGAAAGTGAGGTTGAGGAAATTATGTGAGGAGACAGTGGAAAAGAAACCTAGTGAGCTAAAGTAGACTGTATGTATGTATGAATGTATGTATGTATTTATGTATCTATCTATCTATCTATCCTATATTCTCTATGTAGAATATGTATAACTTATATGTATACCCTGAAGACTTTGGGTGATTATAGGTAAAATAAGACTGCCTAAACCAAGTGTGGTAGTCCACACCTGTATTCCTAGCAGACTGGGAGACTCAGGTAGAAGGGGCAAAAGTTCTAGTCCAGCCTGGGCCACTTAGCAATTTAATGAGACCTTGTATCAGATTTTACAAAATATAAGGGCTAGTGATATGGCTCAGTGAGAAGGTTCTGGGTTCAGTCCCATATAACACACACACACACACACACACGACTTCCTGATCTTGGATGGTCTTGGAGTAAACTCTAAAGACTGCTTGCTGCTTCCCTGCCTAAGCATTAATGAAGATTATGGAGAAGCTATAATTATTAATTAGAATCCAAATTTTAGTAATTTGCACTAAGACCCTACACAAATGAAAGAATAATCATGTTTTGTCATATGTGAATATTCAGAGGCAGTTCATACTGAAGGGGGAAAGTGTGACATCACCCAGGCTTCCTTGTATGGGTTTAGAACATTCTGTTAAAACAATCCGATTGTGCAGAGACTCCTTAAGTGATCACTTCAACTGGCTTCCCCTCACTTGATCCCTACCTCTGCATTTTAAGATTCTTATGGACTTTCCAAAGGAAAAGTAAGAGGAAGTTTACATCCCAAGACCTTCCCAGTCCCACTAGCTTTTCCTCTTTCCTTATGTACAGATGTAAGGTAGAGAAGTCTGACTCCCATTAATGCAGATTTGCGGTAACTGGAGAAGCCATCACAGTTCATTCACCGAAAAAGTGTTCATGGAAAGCCTGCACTGAGGGCCCTGGGGTTAGAGCAGAGAGGAAAACAAACCAAACAGCTCAGAAAGAGTCCCCTACCTTTAGAGCTTCTGTTCTCACAGAGGAAGAGAGACAAAAAAACAAAAATATAATAAAGTAATAATATGTCCTGTGAAGAAAATAAAGCAAGATACAAGGGAGAGAGTTACTGAGAACAGAGAGAAGTGTGTTATACTTTGTAGGCCAGTCTTAAAATAGCCGCTATGGGGGCTGGGGAATTGGCAGACACAAGAGAAAACTGAGTCTGATGTTTAGAACCTCGAGCTGGGTACTTAGAATCCCAGGGTTCTAAATCCTGCTGTGCTGGAACTTGCCTCACCCAACAAAAGACATTTTGCTTCATGGCTGACTCCATCCCTCTGGCTCACTCTGAGTACGTCAAAGCCAAGGAGACTGAATCATCTTGATTCCACCTCTGCCCAGAGTTCTCTCCTGTTTAATTAAAAAGTGAGAATGCCACTTGCACCAACCTAAACCATTTCAAATGTCACAGACATCTTTGAAGTGTGAAATATCTGAGTTTTTCAAAGCTGCTTTTGACTTAATGGGGCTCCTAGATCCCCTTCTCTTTACAACCTCAGGTCTCACTGACATTTGCCTTCTGAGAGCCTTTTCTATTTTTTCCTCCTCTTCCTCCTCCTCCTCCTTCTTCTTCTTTTGGCCTTGCCTTTGAACTCGGTCTAATCAGCCATGTGGATTAAGAGGCCTTGTCAGAAAAGAAGAAAACTGTTTTTCCAAAAGATTAGCCTCTGGACTTTGGAGATTTGCTTGTTTGTTTTTGATTTTTGTTTCGGTTGTGTTCTGAAGCAAAATTGCTTGGAATACTGTCATTCAAGTATGGCTTCTGTAGAATTTAAACATACTTCAGTCTTTGGGAAATGAGACCACACTTTTTGTGATGAGTCGACAGAACAGGGACAAACAGACCACAGCAATGTGAACTTCTGAAAACAGTAACACTCACTGTGTAGATAGGATCCTGGGTCCTGAGCCTCTTTTTAAGCAATTACAAACCTAATGAATGGAAATGTAAAACTTGCTTGCCTTGGGGTTTTTTGCTCTTTCTCCTGGCATGGAGAATGGTTACAAATGGAAAGAAATATTTTATGAGGAAGCTTCAAGTGGAAGTAAGATGTTACTGCAATCATTAACATTACCATTGGTTTCTAAAAAGCCAATCTATAAAGTTCTTTTTTACCAAGCCATAAAAATCATCCCCTTCCTATTCCATCCTTAACAGTGCCATAGTTTATACTTCCACAAGCCAAGTTTACCTAAAATTTGAAGTTTCAGCTTATTCAACTCTTTGTATACCCTCAAAATAAATATTAATTTAACAAATGCTAAACACCTGTTCTGTTTAACTTTACTCATTGTAGAGAAGGAACCAAGGGAGTTAGAATTGCTTTTCTTCCTTTTTGCCATATCAATATCTATGAATTGCTAAATCTGCCACTTAATGTGTTATCAAAAGAAGCAAACACTCAAATACAGAGGCACTTTTCTACTTCTAAAATGATTAAGGGATAAACACAGAGAAAATGCAATGTGGATGAAAAAGAGGATAGAACTATTTAATCCCATTAGTAAACTCGTTCCCAGTTGCTCAGTTGCTTCTAAAAAGACTGACTGTCCTGCCCATGGCTCCCGTTCTTAATATATCCCCTATCCTACCTACCCCTGCACCCCACATTCAAGTCTATAGTCTATGTCACCAACTGCATGAGTGAAGGCCACCAGCTCTCTAATTTACTTATCAGCTCTTGCTGCCATGCATGTAAAATACATCTTCATTCAAGAATTAGAGAAGGAAATAGTGGCTCATTGTGTTTTAGAACTTATTGTCTCAAAATGAATTATGTCAAGTGGATACTTAAATATCGTTTTGAAGGAACACTTTAAATGATGCCACAGTGTCTTTCAGATGAACACAGTAGTTTTGTACTACTTTTTACCAGATGCCAGTAAAATTAATCAGTCATATGCCCAAGCCTTTATAAGTTAGCAAGGAGGATCTCAAAAGCAATAAAAGGTTTTTTTGTTTATTTGCTCAGATGTTCACTCCCAAAGTAAAACAAGGAACTGTTGAATATGAAAGGAACATTTCCAATCCACGACAGTATCAGATGGTTAGTGCCCAAATTAGCTACATTGAACTTTTAAGAGTCAGTGCATTACCTGCATTTTTTGCCCATGGTTGTCTCAGTTTTATGTTATTTTGTTATTCTCCAGAGCAAGATGGAGGAATAATGAGAACATGTTTCTGTTCCTAGAAAATGGGCAGATGTATATTCAGAAAAAGCCAACCATGTACCCACCCTGGGACAGCACCTTTGATGCCCACATCAACAAGGGGAGAGTGATGCAGATCATTGTGAAGGGCAAAAACATGGATCTCATCTCTGAAACCACTGTAGAGCTCTACTCACTGGCTGAGAGATGCAGGAAGAACAATGGGAGGACAGAAATATGGGTAAATATCAGAGCTGGGAACTTTATTTAAAGTGTATGCACCATGATGATAGCTGATGTTTCGCTCAGAATTTCCCTGTCGTCCTAAAAGTATGACTACAATGGCTTTGGGTAAACAAATTCCCTACCACTGACTAATTGCTAATTTGGTAACACTGATAATTATTCATCATGGACTATAAAATGTATTGACATATGCGAATCAGAATTGACACATTTGCCCATGGAATGCGAAGGAATCTTAGTCTATAAAAATTGCTATTGATTTATAACTGTTGAGATAAGCTTGAAAATATCACAAAATTCCCTTAATTGGGGAACCTAACTATTTTCTGTCAAGATATTTGAATGTGCTAGGACAGAAGAACTAAGACCTATTTCGTGTTTGCTCCTTTCTCTCCATATTTTACTAATTCTATAAATTTTATTTTGGCCAGAATCAATTCACGTAGCTTACTTTGTGCTAAGTATGTCCTTTGCAATTCATGTTACCACACCAAGTTTTTGAAAACTTAAACTGTTTGGGTAGCAAAATTTTAGAAATGCTAACGGGAAAAGTAAAATATGAAAGCATACGAAGTTCTAAGAAAAATTTCTGGGGTACAAAATGAAACAAAATATATCAGTAAAAACTTTTCTTATATTGTCAGAAACCCAGAATATGTTTTCAAACATTTGTATAATGCCAAAGAAGACAATCTTGCCTTTCTACTTCTTGATTTCTATAACCCAGGTTTTAGAAATCCACTCAAAATATTCCCAAGTCACAGATTTCACATGGGAATGATAAAAGCTTAAAATCTACGTTTTTGTATTACCTTTACATTTTTGACCTAAGAAAAAGGATTTTTAGGAAAATATAAATCTTTCCTTGTATCACTAATTTTAAAAGACAAATATGTGCCAAGATTTATTTTTAAAAGGTCCCCATACTTAGATATGTCTGGATAGTGTAGTTTAGCAGTATACATTGAACATTTCTACATGCAGTTTGGGGAAAGGGATTATGAGCCCAAAGCTCCAGTAGGGTAAGTGCTTAGACAAGTGGAGAATGGTTAAAGAACCAGACCATGTCACAGATGTTTAACTTATTGTCAAGGAGTTTACACAGACCAGGTGAAGAGAGGTGGGGCCCCAGCTGGGTGCAGATATAGAACTTTTGGCTCTCGGGGAGAAGAAAAAAGGGACAAGCGACAGCAAGTCTTCTCCAGTATCCACACCCCCATTCCCATTTATTTTCTACTTTCTGCCTTACTTTTTAAAAAGAGTCATCAACTCCCTAATTTTTAAAATAAGATTCTGTTTCCTTCTCAATGTAGGGAAGGATAGTGAGTTTCTTTTTTATCCTTTTATTAATTAGACTTCACTGATACGAAGTTTTCTTTTCTAGCTCTTAAAATTGCATTTGAGTCCATCCCTAGATTTTTGCTGATTTTCTTATCAGACATTCCACGTTTTTTGCAATCTAAGCTGATATGTAGAAGGAACAGGGACAAAATGTCATCATAAGCACAGATCTTCACTAACCAACTAGCAAACTTCTCCCATGTTTAAGCTTCAGATTTTGTTCTTGGTTTACTTTTACTTTAAGAGCCAATAAGTTATTTTGAATCTACATTTTCCCTTGCTTCTATTGAAATCTACTTTCTCCAGGTGATTTATTTTCCAGCGCTGGGGGTTGAACCCAGGGCCTTGTTCACATGAGGCAAATGCTCTACCATCAAGCAACACCCTCAGGCCCATGAAATCTGTTTCCTTGGGCCCGAGGTTTAGCTCAGTGGCACCAGAGCCTGCCTCAAAAGCACAAGGTCCTAAGTTCAATCCCTGCTTCCAGGAAGAAAGAAATCTGCTTTCTTAACATTAATTTCTCTAAAAAAGTTTTCCTCAAGTTTGTCCTACATCTTCAAAGCCATCACCCTTCTTCCAAACACTGCAGTGAGGCTTGCCTTCTACTTTCCCAAGGTTGCATCTGTTGGCATGGTTAGTTCCCATTCACTCTCAAAACATGATAAAACATCACTTCTGGAGGGTATTGTTTTTTCAGGGGCTGCCTGGTTTAATTTCCTCCATCACCACAACTTACTGAATATTGATAATATTGTGTTCATCTGGTATTGATTTTCACCACTTTGTTTGGGAATGGGTTCCTAATTCCTCACTCTTGTTCTATTTTTACCTCAAGTTTTACTATTTATTCCACAAACTATAGAACCATGGTGTCTATACTTGATGGCAAGAGCCCTTCTCTTTGATATGTTTAAGCTTATATGAGAATTTGTAGTTGGCTGAGCAATGTAAGCCTATTTTATCATAAATTCTAATAGTGATGCTGTGACATAGTACTGCTGTAATATTGGTTCTTCTAGACAGAGCTCTTTAATGCTTAGTGACTTACACAGGATCACAGAGCCAGGAAATTAGTTGTGGTTCAGATTCAACCCTGGGTTCAATAAGACAATTTGCATTATTTCTCTTATCCTAGTTAGCCTACAGATGTGATTATCAGCAAAAACCATCATCTTTCTTAATCTTTTTAGTCTACTAATGGCTTAGTGTGATGATTTCATATATTAGGGAGTATTCAGGTTATCCTACATTTGTTGTTTTCTTCCTTTGTTACCACATTTTATGAAATCCTGCATCATCTCTTAAAATGGCACTTTGTCTTGGTTCCTTCTACACAATACTCACATATATATTGTAATATACATATATATACTATATATATACTATAAATAATCTCTTCTCAGACCAATCTATGTAAAATTTCTTTTAGCAGAGCACTCAGTATATTTCCAAGGAAATAATTTCTCCTTTTGAAAGAAAAAAAAACTACTCCCAATGAATACTCTGATTTACCTAGATGGACACCACAAAAGGAAGGGAAGAGGGTTTGCAGGCTGCAGACCACCCACACAGGATTTACTTTTTTCCTAAAAGTCCTACTTTTCCCCAAGGGAGCCAGTCCTGGCCCCTGGGATGCTTTGGGCATGATTAAGATCTGGGTATATCTTTTATAGTTCTTCAGAGAATCTATATCACAGGGCAAGAAAACTGAATAGAATCTATTTATAATTTTGTTTCTTTATGTAAAATTTAACCTCCAAGTAAAATCAATGAATTGCGGAGGTAGTATAATAAAGCAAAGGCTGTCATCACAGATGTGGCACTATTCTGATGATAATGAGCATGAGTAAAGTGAAAAGAACAATGATTGCTTCTATATTGGAAACATCCTACTGCACCCAAGTAGCCAGTTGTGATGTCACTGAGCCCCAGGCTGGCTTCACATTCTGACATTTCTTTCCTTCTCTCAACCAGTTAGAGCTGAAACCTCAAGGCCGAATGTTAATGAACGCAAGATACTTTCTGGAAATGAGTGGCAAGTGACATTTCTTCTTCTGGTTTGGGGGTTAGGAGAGCATGGCCTTCTAGTAAAATTTGTTTTATTTTTGCATTGATTATAGAAAAGAATAAGAAAAAAGGCATGTTTTATTAAAATTCTCAGTGGTGCTCAGGCATCAGTTGAAAATAAGCATCTGGGCCAGGTAAACATAGAACAGATATAAATATGTAAATATAAATGTGAATATTAAATTGTGTATATTCTTATGCCTGGCACTTCTATGGTCTGTCTTTATTTTAGTATGGAGATTTAATGTAAATACACAACACTCTGTTTATGTGTTTCTGTGTATGTACACATTGTCTATATGTAATAGTGCTCTATAACTATCACTCTCTCAGTAAAATACAAAATAAGAAACTGATAATGTTTTCCATAAAACTAGTGCCAATAACTAGTGCTTAAAATTAGTCAGTTAACATTTTTTTAGGAACAAGGAAGAGTAAAAAAAAAAAATGCATTGTTAAAGAGTTTCAGTTCCATGTGTCACACACAAACTGTTGTCCCAGAAGTTAAATTTACAGGCACTGTACGTTGGAGGTCAGTGTTGTTTAAGAGTCAAATGCTGCTACTCAGAAAATCCTAAACCTCAGTATGAACGTGTGAACCTACTGATGTAAACTGATTTTACTTTTTTTTCCCTAAATTAGTTTTATTACAGGTTGAATATTGCTTATCCAAAACGCTTGAGACCCAGAGGGGTTTCAGATTTTGGACTGTTTTGAATTTGGGGATATTTGCATAACTGTTATGAGATATCTTGGAAATGGGATTCAAGTCAAAACATATAATTCTTTTTTTTCCTATATACCTTAGGTACTTGGCCTGAAGATAATTTCAAACAATTTTTTAATAATTTTGTATATGAAATAAAGTTTCATAGATGGTATTTCCCACTTTATTCTCAAAAGTTTGAGATTGAATATTTTGGATTTCAGATTTTTGGATTGGGGATGCTCAACCTATACCAATGACAACTGAGTTTTAGTTCAGAGATTTACAGTGCTTTTGCTTAACACATAAAATTCCTTACATGTCCAGATTCAAACAAATACATTAGAGAAGATAATATTATGAGACAATGAGAGAAAACTTGAATACTCACCAGGTATTTGTTGATATGAGGCATAGTTATTAATTTCTTAGATGTAATAATGATATTTGTGGTTATGTCATTACAAAAGAATCTTACTCTTTTACACATATAAGCTGAGATGCTTGTCAATAAAATAAAATGACAGCACGGACTTGCTTCAGAACAATCAATTGGCACAGGGAGGGAAGTGGACAATGGTCCACTGGAAGATAGTGGCCATGAATTCATCAAAGATGAATGGTTGATACTTGGAAACTGATTATAGTATTTGCACATTTTAAAATTTTTCCATATTACACTTTTTCAAAAGAATTTTTAAATTCCTGAGGAAGGAAAATGTACTCTGAATTTTTCTAAATGCCTCCCCAGCCTAAATATATAGTATATATAATTTACTGTTTGTGAGTTGATGAAATAAGATAGAGTGAGTGGTACCTGAATAATCAGTAAAATAACTGCCTTAAGTTATAAGAGCAGTGATGCTTAATTTCTTGCACAAGTAAAAGTACACTTTCCTATTAGTTCAAAATATGGTCCAATGAAAATTGGAGAAAAATTCCACTGGACAGAAAGTAGTGTTTGTAAATAATGTAAAAATCTCTGCTTTTGAAAAAAATTGTATAGATATTTCTCCATTTACTGTGAAACTCAAGTTCCATTAAAATAAGAAAGTAAATTCAAATGAGGTAAAAGCAATACTATTATTTCATAAACAATAATTACATAATTCCAGGTGCATTTTTTAAAATTTATAGGATTGAATTTTTTAAACTACACCCAAATTGAGACTTATCTCTAAATTTTTATAATTCCAAAAAATCTAATTTTTAGTAACCATTATTGTGAAATGACCTAACTAGAAAACTCCTTCTTGATGATAAGAAGAAAGTACAAGATGTTATTAAATTTCAAGAATTTTTGTAATTACATACAAGAAATAGCTTCCTGAAGAATTCAGAAAAGCAAAATATGAGTTCTTATACTCAGGAAACTCAGATTGGAAAGGTGATACAGATTAAACAGCTAGAAAATAATTATATCCTGTACAATATAAATACTAATTAACCAAGAGATAAATAGGGATTGCCTTCATTCCACGTTGTTCAATAGTATGTTCACTGAAGGAGAGGCAGAATTAAGGTTTCTATCTTTTCTGAGTTAAAAATGAAGGCTTGAGCAAAACATGACATAGATAGGCAGTGTGAAGAAACCAGGTAGACTAGCTGGCCCTGCTAAAATCAGAAGAGTTGGGTGCTGGTGGGCATAGAAACCTGACAAGAAAAGTCTGTAGACTTTAGCCATGCTTTGAACTAATGGGACAAGTATACTCTTTCTTACTCTTGGAATGAAACATTATTTGCCTATAGAACTGCCTTCATGGTGTGGAGAAGTGATGAGAATCTAGTCTAGGGGTGTGGTAATGAGAATGAAATAAAAGCAAAAATATTAAAGCAAACAAAGTAGTAGTAAGATTTTATGGTACTCTAGATGAAAGAAAATGCTTATTATATGTACATAGTGCAGGTGCTTTATAATTATTTTAAAATGAAAGAGGCGTGAAGGGAAAAAGGTTGAGAATATCTCTTAAAATAGCTACACTGGGAAAATAATGATAAGAATAATGGCAATGAAGATATGAAAAGAGAAGGCAAATGAGTGGACAATAAGAAATTTTAACTTAGATAACATTTAAGATAATATCATGACTCCCAAATCATTCTTCAACAGAAGCTTGTACTCTTCTCTAGCCCATAATGAAGTAAATGGCTCACCTCTCCATTCACAGATCACTGCAGTCTTGCTCTGTGCAAATTTCCATTTGTTCATTTCTGTGCTTGAGTCACTTTTCCTCTTCCTCTGTTCTCCATCCATCACTATTGTGGCTTAAAAATTCACCATCACCATCTGATACACTTCCCTCCTATTTCACATCTTCCTACATATTATCCAGTCAGATATGAACCCTCACCCACATGTCTTCACTCAGAATACTCCAATTTTAAGGACTCAGACTCAGAACTTGCTCTTGGAGCTCATTTTTCTCCCCTGTCAATTCAGTCCTTCCTCTCACCCAGTAAGTACTACACTTTTCTCTTTCATCCCCTTTATGACCCAACTTCTAGCACTAATTCCTCATCTACCTTGGTCCCCATGAAATGTTCTTGACAATACCTAGCTCTCATCATTTCCTTCTTCCACCATACACACTTTGATCTCCAAGCCTTGCACTCTCCCTCCCTTTCCATTCTCCATGGCTTTGCTAGAAAATACCACTCAGCTGAGTCTGTTACAAATAGATCCTGTTAAGTGATGTTCTCATATTTCAGGCTCATATATTTGACCTCTCCAACTAGATTTCCTGTAAGTACTTTAAATTCTGTTGAATTTTAATTACACAACTTAAAGGAAAACCAAATCATATCAAAAGTACATTCAACTATTTTCACCAGTAATTCTTCCCTTCGTACCCACTATCTTAGTTAATTATTACATCTTCCACAAAACATGGAAATGATTTTTATGGTTTTCTTTTCCTTTACCTCCACATTAGTCAATAATTTCTGTCCATGTTGTCAACATTTTAAAATTTTATCTTCTTTGCATCCTTTCTTATTGTGTCTCACTCATTCTCCTATGACACTGCTAGAATGGATTTGTCAAGCTCCATTCTGACTACATCATGCTCTGCTTTGCTCTCTCCCTGCCCCTGTTAGTCCTTCAGAGTTTGCAGTTTGTCTACAAGAAAATCTTCAAACTGAGTCTAATATCCTCTAAGTGTAGCCACTGATCTTTTCTGCTACACACCCCACTCTAAAAGTACTCCATTATTTCAGTGCCCCACTCCTATCCTGAGAACCCTTATTTCTGTACCCTTGCTCATTCTCTCCCCCCATTTGTTTATCTTCACCATACTTTCTCCTCCACATTAGTAGGATTCTTTATTCTTCAGAACTCAGTTCAGAATCCTTCCTGCTTATACCTTCTCTGTCTACTTTTCTACTTCTCACCTCCAGCTGCCTTAATTGGTGCATTGGAGTATCCTGGGCATATATCTGCCCTGAGATTTACCACATAATTGTCTTTCCTTCTAAACACTCAACTCTTGCAAAACAGCAATGTTGGATGAATGATATCTTATTTATTCCCTTAACTCCAGCACCAGGTTGTAGTTAGGATGAAGAAAGAATACAATCACTGCTTATTAGATCATTTAGATGAACTCCCCTTGACATTTAGAGGTTTCTTTCATTTCCTTTGATTCCTACTCAATGGCTTTTTCAAACATGCCCATACTTGGTTTCTGAAGGTGTCATACTTTTCTCATTCTGGGAGGTCAACCTTGGGTAGGTATGTTGATAGAGATTCTATCTTCTGCCTGTGCATGTTACAGTGTGGCTTTTTCTTCTTGCATCCTCTTCTTGTTCCTGTGCTTCAGAGAAAGTCTCTCCTTTTTTGACCTCAAGCTTCTCATCCCAGCAGCCTTGCTCCATCAAGTCATTTTCTCCTAACATCTTCAACTCTCCCTTCTCTGTGGCTTCCTACTCATTGTCAAGACACACTGTACCAGCCATCTTCCCCCATTATGGAAAAAGTCTCCTTTTTAACCTTTTTACCTCCCTGAGTTTTTCTTTTCTTTCTTTCACTGATACTTCTTGAAAACAGTTCGTATTTATTGTCCCTTTTTCTTTGCTATTCTCTCAGTTCTTAAACTCCCACAGTCTGGATGAAATGGCTTTCTCCATTATTATGAATCCTCTAAACAAGTTCCTGGTTCTTAACTTTCAATTTCCTTGACTACTTTCTATCAGTCAATGCAGAAACCTGCATTCTTTTTTTGACATATAATGTGATCGTATCTAAATTTTCACCTTTATTTTTCAGCTGCCCCCTATTAGTCTCTCTAGTGATTCCACTTTCTGCCTCCTAAAAATCTATGGGTGTACATATCCCTGAGAATACTCTACACCATCATGCACTGTCTCATATAGTTAGCTGTTCTTTGTGTCAGTACCATGTCTCCCTGTTGTGATGTAACTGCTCAATGGTTAGGAATAACATCTCCGAACATGTCAGAACACTCGGTGTAGTCATTTATGCCTAGCTGCTCAGGGTACATATGTGTTGCATTTGACTCCAAATACATTAGACTAAATAAAAAGATTTGGAGTCGCTGGCTTAAAAGAGATAATCAAAGCTACATATATATATATATACACACACACACACACACACACACACACACACATATATATCAACAACAAAAAGCGTATCAAACCAATAGAGGACCAAATTACTTCAGAGATAAGTTAATATCAAAAGAATTAAATCCTGTGTCCTTATACATTTACTTTCATAATAATTGAAATCATTTGTGGATAAACAGAGCTACAAGGAAGAAAGAAGGAATAAATTTATCTCTAGAACTTTCTGATATTTGTTAAATGTATAGTAGTCCAATGCATACATGTATGTACAATATAGTTTGGGTTTCAGAATAATTCACTTGCATTCCCTGAGTTAAAAGTACCCTTATTCTTTTTTTTTTTACCCTTATTCTTTATTTCATTTCAATTCATTACATCTGACCATACCATAAATGAAATCAAATCTTACCAAAAAATAACGTGTTATACCAGGCAAAAGTGGTAAATAGGTCTGCATGTTTGTACTAGAACATGTGGAAGAAAATTATTAACTTGGTGACCCTTAATTTAATCTCTCATTCACCAAGCCTAATTTATTTCCATCCTTGTTCCAAATAATATAACCTGAGTTATTTAGCCTTAAAGTAATAGCACAGTATTATGGTCCACCTGCAGAAATCTTTAGAGGGTTATTGGCACAAGGGTTTGGAGTTGCCATGAAACAGAACCGTGAACCACTATAAAGGAAATGTGAGTGCTAAAATGAGTCTTAAGACTTGCCTAGTTTTCTGTGTGAGAGATCTCTACCTGCAAAGCCCCTCCTTTGTTTTCCTAGTCTGTTTCCAGCCCATCCAATATTAGAAATGGAAAAGTAAAGTACCTTGGCAGGAACATTTGCCTCAGGTGCATTGTCAGACCTCTATCGCTGTAGCCAGAATGGTGGTAATTTAATTTCAATAATATTAACTGTACTTTTGAAATCTGATGAGCTTCTTATTCTCACTAAATTTTGATTTTTGTGTAAAAATAAAAGAAATACAATAAGTGAGCCAAAAAAATTTTAAGCTATTAAATCATGACACTAGCCATTATAATCATTATATTTAATATCCTTTTTTTAGTGAGGATAATTTTTTTTACTATTTATTATGTTATTCTCTCTTACCAGCTAGAGTGTTCATCATGCTGTTTAGCCATAATTACCCCCACCATTTTGTATTCTTTGGGATCCTAAGCCACGGCTGGAATATCATGAATATTTTCAGAATCTTGCCAACTTGCGGCCCTTCAGCCTTTTGGGAAGATGTTATCTGGCCATAGGGCACTGTGGACAGTGACTGCTCAAAGCACTTTCACCAGTATGCACAAACCCAGGGTGGACTGAATACATGTGGATTTGATAGCTTGATGTAAATGATTAGACAATACACGGGTTTATCTATACATTTTTAAAATGCAGTTATCAATTTTCTGGCCATTCCCACATTGATGAGTACAGACTGTAGCTGGTACAGTATCTGATCACTGCGGCCATCAAAAGCCAGAACATAAATACCTTCTCTTCCCAAAGTTCTTTTGTCCTCACACAAAAGGCTGGATGCTCCCTTCTGTCTGTGCCTGGCTGACTAAACATAGCCAGTTGTAAAGTATCCTGGCACCTCAGAAATGCAGCTCTAGAATTACATAAAGACTTGAAAGTTCTGATTTCTGGTTTTAAAATCAGACAGAAAATAACCTCAGCTCAGTCAAAGAGGAGTGAAAGATGAAAACAACCATCCAACTTCATTTCATTCCTCTAATAATATACCCTGCGATAATTCCATATTATAGAATTAAGGAAAAAAGCCTGTATTTTACCCACTTTAATAAATATCTGGAATTTTATTACTGTAGGTGATGAATGCTTGTCTGCTTCTCTTTCTCATCCAATTCCCACAGTCCCCATCCACCTGTGACCATTATATTGCAGAATCTCACTTTGTCTTCTCCTCTGCTTGCAGACACAAAAGACTTGAGTGAATTTGAGGCTGAAGGCTTCTTTGCTCTGCATCACCGCCGAGGAGCCATCAAACAGGCCAAAGTCCACCATGTCAAGTGTCATGAGTTCACCGCCACCTTTTTCCCACAACCTACCTTTTGTTCTGTCTGCCACGAGTTTGTCTGGTACAGTAACTTGGCATTTTACTCCAAGCTTCAGGCTATGCATTTTGTCTTAATCCACAAAGTATGGTGTGCTCTGCTGTGAGGGAATATGTGGGGGAAAGTACTAGGTGAGAGTCGGCAGTGGCCTTGGCAATACTGAAGAGATTTAAAGGGTATGACTGAATGTGAAAATTTCATAATGTGCCTCCTATAAAACAAGGTGTACTCAGGCAAAGTGTCTGTGTTAGTCAGCATTCCATCACTGTGACAAAATACCCAAGAAAATTAATCTAAAATGAAAATAAACTTCTATGTTGGCTCATGATTTCAGAGGCTTCAGTGTGCAGTTGCTTGGCCTTGTCACTGTGGGCCTGTGGCGAGGCAGAACATCATGGTGGAGAGCACATGGTAGAACAGAGCTGCTCAACTCGTGGCAGCTAAGAAGCAAAAAGAGAGATAGAGAGAAGGGGTAGGGTCTCAATATACCTCTCAAAGGTGCTTCTCCAGTCACCTCACTTCCTTCCACTAAGTTCCACTCCTAAAAGTTTCACCATTTCCCAGTAATGCCAAAAGCTGGCAACCAATACTTTAACCATGACCTTTGGAAGAGAGGGGTATTTCAGATCCAACCCACAGCAAGGCCGGAAGAATTTTAGTTTCTGACTAAATGGTAGGCTGCTGGGGGCAAGAGGGAAAGAATACAAGGGGTGGTGCCTTTATAGTCAAAACTTTCACCACGTCAATAGGCCATGTGTACTGGTGTTCCTGTGAGCAACAGGCAGTGCTTTCCCACTGTAACAAGTAGTTTGAGTATGGATGATGCTTTTAGAGGAATCTTAGCCTCAGAGATCAGTTTACACCTCAATAACCACATAGCAAAGGCTATAGCAGAACAAAGACTTCCAACGACTCCTGTTTCTATTCTCAGCATCTGTGTCTATTAAAAGATGTTCTTCCCTTGGGCTCCTGCAGAATGTGTTCATGCACAAGTCCCACTTACCTGGGACATCCAAAGGTCAAGGAGATTTCAATGGATTTTTATTAACTTCTTTTCCTCTAATTACTTGAATCTCCTTTCTTTCTAATAGTCAGTGTCACTCTGGAATTGGTCTCAGTGTTGAGCTTTGTTGGTTGCAAATATTCTCACCCAGAGGAGATAAGACATTATAAATGTCTTTGTTTCCCTACATGTAAACAAAAACAATGAACTTTTAAATAAGACAATGATTTTTTTAACTGTAGGACATGAAAGTTTGCTGCTAGGAGCCTGTGATGGATGTTGTTTAGGAGCTGTAATCTCCATGTGTACTTGGAAAATACAAACATAAAAAAGAAATCAACAGCTCTTTATTTATTTAATTATCAGACTCTTAATAAACTACCTTAAAATTAAAACACACTCCTGACAAATGATACACTGGGACTGCTACTTGGCAAAAATGCCCATGACCTTAAGAAGCCATGAGATGTGTCTTATCTCTAAAATGGTTTTGGTGCTGATGTTGACTTGAACATCCAAATAAATCAGTCGTGTGCTTTGTTACAGGGGTCTGAACAAACAGGGCTACCAGTGTCAACGTAAGTAAGAAGGATTTCTGTTGTATTATCACTGCTTTTTAAATTTAACTTCTTCTTAACTTCTAGACATCTGAAGTTACAATTATTTGTTTTCAGAATGTAATGCAGCAATCCACAAGAAGTGTATTGATAAAGTTATAGCTAAGTGCACAGGATCAGCTATCAACAGCCGAGAAACCATGGTATGTATGTAACGTATGTTGAATCCTCTCTTTGATGTACAATGAGTTTATCCTAACAGTAAATTTTATAGCCCACTAGTTCTTTTTAATAATGCCTGCTTGAACTTGAATCCTTAAGCTTATCCATGAATATGAATCTCCCTAAAACCCTTTCCTTTTCAAAACTTTTTATTGATTTACCAAAGCTAGGAGACACATAAGAAAAGCACAGTAAGAACTTTAATTTTCAGGAAAAAAATGTAACAGAAAGTGGCCAGAAAGTTCAACTTGGATAAGTGCATGAAAATAAGTTTTGTGGCATGTACAGCTGGAAGTGACAGTGAAAGAGTAAATAAAGGCAGGTGATTATAAAATATGGAGATATAAATGTGTACAAGGTTAGTAAGAGATGGTAGCAAAAGGGTAACCCTAATGTTGAACATAAACATCTCCTTCAGAATGAACTTTGGGATTTAGTCTAAAAATAGGTTAGATTTGACATAACAGAGAAGGAAGCCTTAGATGAAAGTCAGGCAGCCTGTCATCATGAAACATTTTTCTTTCTCCTCCCACCTTGTTCTTCATTCAACAGATATTTCTTAATTGTCTAATTGTGGACAGTATCATGCTATGTCAGATGTGTATCATAGCATAAAACAGGCATGATCTTGCCTTCATGGACTTTCTGCAAACTTGGAAAAACATGTAATAAACCAACTGTAATCATTTTGATAAATGTCAGGTGTTATGAAGATAGCAAACAAGGTGCAAGGGTGGAAAATGGCAGGTGGCCTAAGGAGACCAAGTGGTCAGAGTATCTCTCCAAAGGAGGGAGGATTTGAACTGAGAACTGAAGGTAAAAAGAGCCAGGTGTGACCAGCCTGAGGAAGAAGACCCTAAGTGGAGAAAGTCCAGCACATTCTAGCAACTAAAATGAGGCCAGTATGGTTAGATCTACAAGGCCCAGAGAGAAAGAGATACAAGTTGGGGAATTTGGCAGGACCTAAATCATGTGGGGATCCTTCAAACCCTGGGAGTGTAAATGAACATTATGGAACAGAGAGCTCATCTTGTGATCCCATAGGAGAAATAGTGTGTTGAGATGTGAGAGTCAAACCAGAGAACACTAGAAGAGTCATACCAGGAGGGAGGGAAGTGGGCTGTACCAATGTGGTAACAGAAGAGATGGAGCAAAGTCAGTAGACTTTCAAGTGATTTCTATGTTAGAAATGGTTGGATCATTTCAAAGGAATGGGTGTGGAGAAATGAAAGGGAAGGATATAAGAGTAATGCCCATGACCATCCTGTCTGAGAGATGAGAGGACATCTAAGTGGAATTATCAATGGACAGTTTTAAGCTTGGAATTCATATGAGCCAGTGCACCAGCTCTACAAGTTTGAGGGTGAAAATATTGTAGGGTGAGGTTGAAAGCTGTCTAAGAGATTCCCTAGTAATGGAATTAAGAAAGAAGAGGATGTAGGACTAATTGCAACGGGATCTAAAATTTGATGTTAGATAAGGGAAAGAGAGAAAGACGGAGAACCCAGGTTTGAAAGCTTCCTACACTTGGAGCACATGAGGTTCCAGAGCCAAAAACCAAAGGAGTGAGTTCTGTTCCATGCAGTTGAGATGCTGAGGAAAGTAAGGAAATGTTTGCAGCCCCTGATCAGAGAGATTTCAAGAGGTTTGTGGAGTTGTTAGTGTGGCTGGTCTATAATGAAAGTGACTGTAAGGAGATGACACAGAAACAAGCTGTGCATTGATTGACCATTATCAAGAAGAAAATCACTGAAGGAGACCAGCAGCTGGAAGGAGGGAGTTCAAAAAGCTATGGGAGGGGCCAGGGATTTAGCTCAGTGGTGCCTCCCCCTGCCTCGAAAGCACAAGGTCCCGAGTTCCATCCCCGGTACCAAAAACCAAACCAAACAAACAAATAAACAAACAAAAGCTATAGGAGACACTGCCATACTAGGGAGGGAAGGATGAAGTTGGAGAGAGATTCCCAAGCAAAGCAGTCAAGTCTGCTAGCAAGAAAGAAAGAGGTCCTGGCTTATGCCGAGATGGGTTTTGGATGGAGGGATGCATCATCAGTTTTAACAGGAAGTGAGTAAGGCAAAATGGGAGCCAATGAGCATAGGGGTTTTTTCTGTAGTACTGGGGATTGAACCCAGGGCCTTCACAGTGAGCTATATTCACAGAACTTTTTGTTTTTTATTTTCAGACAGGGTCTCACTTAGTTGCTATGTTGCCCAGGCTGGGCTCAGACTTACAATCCTCCTGCTCAGCCTTGTTGGTGGGTAGGAGAGGAAGCTCCTTTTAGCTAGCTTATATCAATATAATGAGTCTGCCCATTGGAGGAAGGAAGCAGAGAAGGCAATAAGTGGCTTTGAGGAAAGTAATCAGACATGAGAAAGCAAGTTGCTTAGGGAACAGCAGCAGGATGGCAGAGCAGAGTTGAAAGTCCACTTGAGTTTGGCAGAGTCCACCTGCCCAGATGTGTGGTTTTCTCTGACACAGGGGCAGGCACAGAGAAGGCAAATTGGTTGAATTTTGCCAGATAGGATGTCCACACCTGTAATCCCAGCACTCTGGGAGGCTGAGGCAGGTGGATTACAAATTCAAGCCCAGCCTGGGCAATTTAGTGACTTACCAAGACTCTGTCTCAAAAATTTAAAATAATTTTTTAAAAGGTTGAGGCTGTAGCTCAGTACAAAGGCCCTTGATTCAATCCCCAGTACTTGAAATAAATAAATAAAATATCCTCTAAAATTTAGAGCTACAGCAGCATAATCTCATATTACCAAGTGATTGTGGTAAGGCTCAAGGTGGTTAAAGCAGTTTGTACATGGTGAGTCTCCTGCAAATGGCAAACCTGGGACTAAAACTCAGACAACTGTCTTCTGGAGTTTCTTCTTGTTTGTTTAAATCAAATTGCTACCTCCGATCCTTTTCCTTTTACTTGATGCTGTAAGCTTTTCTGAAAAATCCTGAATTGTGAGCAATCATTGTTAACCTCAAAGGGTAACAAAATCGCTGGCACAAGGTAAACTACAAGAAATCATTAGTTCAATGAACAAATGTCAGTGTGGATAATATTACACTCTCTAGGAATATTTTAATTTTTTGCTCATGCAACAAGACATCATTTTTAGGATCCTTTTTGCCCCTAAACCTACAGTAGCATTATTTAATAGGAAAAACATGAGGGCTATTTGTATAATTTTAAACTGTTAAGTAACCACTTTAAATTTTTGAATGGCACATATGAAAATTAAGTTTAATTATATATTTTATCAAGTCCAATCTATCTGAATAGTATCATTTTGGCATTAATCAATATAAAAAAATAGATATTTGACACTATTTTTTTCCTACCAAGTCTTCAAAATCCAGTGTGATTTTAAGCATACATCCTGATTCCAGCTCACCTCATTTCCATTGTTCACTAACCCCATGCAGCTACTGTGCTTTCATGTTGGAAAGACCAAATCTAAAGTCTTTTGTCAGCCTTATCTTGAGCCATTTGAGCCTGCACTAGAGATTAAAATGCACTCCCTCTATTTGGGACCTTGACCTATTAATTTCCATATTTATACTCAGTGACATGAAATGGGTTCTGATAATTTATTTATTGGGGGGGGTTGAAAATGACTAGTGTAGGTTCTGAGAAACTTTGAAATAATTACAAATAGCCGTTCTACAGAGCTGATGCTGACACCACCAACCACAGGAACAATAGGATGCGTCACTTGTTAGCAATAAGGGTTCTTTGCCGTGCATGTCCTCAAGCAAATGGTGTAATTAGAAAACTCTGACATGATCATAAGTCCTGAGTAAATAAAACTTTTTATACTGCACAAAGATATTGACATCTTACCAGGAATTAAGCTGTCTGACATTGTTCTTAGTGTTCAGGCAATAACTTTGGTTGAAGGAGAGAATTTAAACTCTGGGAAACTTTTAAAAGTCCTGCAGTAAATCTACCACTAGGATCTCTCTCCATCCTACTTCTCTCCTTAACTGACATCTCTTTTGCTACTTAAAATAGAATGGTGGGGCTTTGATTCTGACTGCCAGCTCCTTGCTGTCCAGACTCAATACCAGTGTGACCTGGACAAGTTCCTTGCCCTTTCTGTGCTTGATTTCCTCATCTATCAAATGAGGGCAGTAATAGAGACTACTTGAGTGGGGAGTTCTGAGGATTACATGAGATACCACAAGTGTACCAGGTGACACACATAACATACTCGTCCTCTGTTCCTGGCAGGAACTCTTACTTGTGTCTCTCACCACCTCTGTTTAGTTCATGAATAAGGGATGTGAAAATGCTCTGAGCTATTAGTAGGCTTTCATCCTACTAATGAAGGTGTCTTAATTTCATCTTCTGGAAGAGGCATTTTTTGCATCCTTCCAAAGGTTAAGCACTAGTTCTGGCTAAAGGAGAAAAGGAAATATTTATAATAAAGCAGGAAGGGCAATTTCATCTGTTTAAACAGGAGCAGAATTTCTTTAGCTCCTATTAGATAAATAACTCCATTCTCTCTTCTTGTAATGCTCACCTGTCTCTGGTGACGCCTTAAACATCTGCTGTGGGCTTCTGTGTGCTTGACACATGCCAGTAACCAACTCATCCTCACCTGGAAGAGCCGAGAGCTCTCTGCCATCTTCAAACAAGACAAAAAGGCCTGACAAGTACCAGTGATAGCCAAAAGGCACACAGTTCCTACATTTGCATTACAGTTCCTATTAGGCTAAAGGGTCCATGAGAACATCAAAAGTTGGACCCCGGGGACATGTATGTGATCACACTTTCGGCCTGTCTTCCAGTTCCACAAGGAGAGATTCAAGATAGACATGCCGCACAGATTTAAAGTCTACAATTACAAGAGCCCAACCTTCTGTGAACACTGTGGGACCCTGCTGTGGGGGCTGGCTCGACAAGGACTCAAGTGTGATGGTGAGTCCAGTGGGAAGTGAGCATGGTCCCCCTGCAGACCCCAAGGGGTGCCAGTGTGGTGTCTTAGAGAGTGGGAAGGAGGTGCCGAGGGATGACTTCTACCCCCAGCCTGGTGTGACCGTGATCATGAATGCCATCTTCCTGGGACAATACATACCTGTGAGTCTTTTCCTTTTACCCCACAGTACCCTCATCTTCACAGCCCAGAAAAGTGCACAGGAGCTGAGGTTCAAGGTCAAATCTCTGGGCCCTGTGGCCTTAAGTTATACACAGCCCTGAAGACATAAAGCCAGAATTTCTCCTCTGACTTGTCTCTCCACCAAGACCCTGCTTTACTGTAACCTGACCTGCTGTCTCCTTGGTAGGATCTGAGTTTCCTAAGCCCAGCATTCTAGCTATGCAATGCTCCACCCTTCTCCTCTGCACCAGCTACTGAGATTCTCTCATTGTCCCCCTCACAGATACACACACACACATATACACAAACACACACACACACATGCACACACCAAGCAGTGAGAAGCCAAGTTCAGTGCTGACCACCCTTCTCCCTTGTCTGATCCGGGGGCTGGAATCACAGCAGAGCCCAAATCTGCCATCCCCTGATTATGGAGTTACTTAGCCCTACCCTGAAAAAACAAAACAAGGCATTCTCACTTTAGAGCTCTAATTTGCTAAGGCAGTAACCTTTAGAAATTGAGATGCTGTTGTTCCAGGATTAAGGAGTAGAGAGGAAAAAATTCCGAGGAGAACTGACAAAACACTCTGCTTTCTGGGAGGGAGCAAGGGAGGGGCAAGGCCTGGATAATATGGCCACCAGGGGTTTCCTGCTGCAGCACAGACTTTTTGATGATGGAATATTAAATGTATTAGCCCTTTGATTTTTCCTTGCAGCCCTGTCTTAATTCATGCTACTGGCTTTATATTTCTTCCCTTTTAAGTGCTAGAGGGGAAAGACTATCTTTTGGAGCTCAATGGTATTCATGTGCCCCATGGAGTCTAGAGTGACATCTTAGTGGAGCCAGGAAGGATTAGGTTTCCAAAGCATTCCCAAGGTAGCCGCTGGTAGCAATGTGAACTTTGAGGATCCCTTCATAGCCCCAAAGTACCATTTACATGCTTTTCTCAGTTCACCTGCTCATGAATACATGGATATGTAGGGTGTTACACAGTGAGTCATAAAAGTTCATAGGCCAAAAATTTCCCAGTATTCTAATTATATAAATAGAAATATGGGTAAGTTCTCACCGGTTGTTACTCCTGTGATGGTCTCAAAGTCAGGTATTTCTGGAGAGCCTGAGCACCCACTTGCTATGGCAGAGCTGGTCTTGATAGCATGACTAGGAAGCTTAGAACTTCCCCCAAAGAATCCTTGGCATTATTTCACACTCACATGCACGCACTTCTTTGTTCCATTCTTTCTAACATTCTTTCCTTTCCCTTCCATTCCTTCCCCTGTCTCTCCTACCTACTTCATTTCAAGAACTCCCTTCCTTCTTTTCTTTTATCCCCCTTTCCCCTTCTCCTCCCCTCCCTTCCCTTCCCTATTTCATTTTCCACTTTTAACTCTGTTACCCCTCTAAAACTTCCCTGATTCTTCAACTCTGTTCATCTCCACATGCCTCCATCCTCAACTCTTGATTTTCCTTCTCCTTTCTAGTTCTCTTTGTCCTTTGTTCTGTCTCACTCTTAGCTTACCTCCTTGTAAATCATCTTCTTAATTAAGTAAGGTCCCGATCCCCTATCAGCCTTTATCCTGTCTTCTTTTTCCTCTTTCTTTATCTCTTTTCTCCTCTCCTCTCTTCATCTCTTCTCACTCTCTTTCTCTCCATTCTACTACAATAATTCCCATGAAAATAGTCATCAAAAGGGACTCTTTACACTCATAGAGATCAAGTAACCACCTGATAGGTTAGTGACAAACTTATGGCATTCCAGTAGGAATGGTGGCCTTTCTTCAATACAGTGCCCATCTGAAACAAGCACAGAGCTGGCTACAATTTCAAGGAGCAAAGTAAAATAACAATCCTGTTGCACTAAATTCTCAATAAATATCTCACTTTGCATTACAGAGATAAGTAACAAAATGTGGCTAGGGCCACCCATGTTAAAACCTAACACTTGCTGAATAAGTCCAATGTCAATCATGCTGACTATGCAGAATTCTAAACACAATTATCAAAACCACTCTTGCTATATTAATGATTTTAAGTAGACAAAAGATTTTGGGTCAAGTGGATTTTTGTGACTATATCTATGCATATATATTTGGACTAGTAATATAGTTATTCACATAGAAAATGCTCTATTGTTTTATGATGAACTATTTGAGGAAGTGTGAGCAAGTTAAAACCAAAGGTTAGTGATGCCAGAATTTCACCCAGATAGTATATCAATGTAATAATTAATTGATATGAATGAGAAATTGTATTTGATAAACAGGTACCTACTCCATAATACTCACTGTGCTAAGCTCTTTGCACACATATTTGCTAATAAGCAGACGAAATTAAAATTTGCATGATTTTATAGGTCCTACTAATTCTATTATAATAATCCTACTTTTATACTTTCCTAGAAGCAAGTTGAGTTCTATCAACTGGAGTTTGGAAATCTTTGTGTTATGTTTTCTTTTGAATAGTGATTTTTCAAAAGCAAAGTTTGGGTTTTCTAAAACTTGTAATATAATATAACAGGTATCTTTACACAAATTCACAGGCACACCCCTTCCCACTCAATCTGAGAAAAATCCCTTGGTCAAAAGAAGTATAAGTAGAACTTCACAGCACTTGTCTTAGTTACTTTCTCATTGCTGAGTCACGATACCTGACACCCACAATTTAACAGAAGAAAGGTTTATTTTGGCTCACAATTTATAGAGGTTTCAGTCCATAGTTGGCTGCCTCCAAAGCAGAGGGGCATGGCAGAGGAGAAACAGCTCATGGCAGGGCAACAGGAAGCTGAGAGTAATCAAGGGAGAAGGGAGGGAGATAGACCCTTCCAGGCCACACCCCCAGTGACTCACCTCCTCCAACCAGGCTTCACTGCCCTACATCACCTTTAGGTGTAAATTCATCAGTGGAATAATCCACTGATGAGTATTACTACCCCATGATTCAATCGTCTCCCAAAAGCCCCACCTATGAGCACATAAGGCTTTGGAGGGACATCTAGATATAAACCATAACAGCACCATTTTCAGGACTCATCATTCAGAGTACTCACGGAGTCTGTACAGAGCATCTCTTCAGGGCTAAGATCCTTCTTAGAAGCCTTGGGGACTTGTGCAAGACCATGCAGGGTCAGCTCCCTGTGTAAGCTGTGACCAGCATGTGTCCTCCTCCCCTACGAGTTCTTGAGTTTTTCCCACTTCTCTTTCTTTTTCTTTGGAAAAAACAAAAATAATGTCATGACATTTAAAGATGAAAGAAAACATTGATCTCTTTTCTTTGAGTTACTTTCTCTCGTTACATCATAAATGCTCATTTAAACTGATAACTCATGTGTACAAGAAATACCACTTTCTTTATAACCTTGAAATCCACATAACTGGGACTCTAGTAATTGTAGGGGTCTGCCACCCTTCCTGTAATCACACAAGATTTGGAGAGGCATGTATATCAGGGGCCTGCAAATAGGGTAATGTCTTCTAACACCCTGTTGTCTGATCCTGTTGGTGTCATATCCAAGGCCATTGTGAGGACACCTGTGGCTTGCTGTTTTTGTTTTGTTTTTGCTGTTTTGCTGTCCCACCTGAAGATTTTGTGATTTTATCAAAGTTGGCATCTTAATGCCTGGGTCCAGTCTCTCTAAATGTACTCTGCTGTGACCTCCCCTGGCATTGCCAGCCAGTGAAGAGCATTCCTTTGCTCCCATATCCACAATCACTTGCTTCTCTCCCTTGCAAAGTTCAACTGAGATTAGGGGACATTTCCCTTCTGTAGTCTCTTCCCCCCGCCACACTCAAAAACACTTCCCAGTCACTCCCTTCTCACAGATACCTAGCTAGGAGCCTTCACTTTCTACCCACTCAAATGTGAGACAAGCAAGAAGGAGAAAAACCAGGGAAAGAAACCAAAAATAAAATTTCAAAAGTTTGTTTATTGTAATTAGAAAATGTAGTGATAATTCTGGAGAGGTCCGTGGGTTGTTTTCTTTTAACTAGGACTTGACCACTTCTGACAACCTCAAACACTGGGTATTTTTCCCCTGGTTTATTGCACTGGCCATGAGAAGTATGGTAGTGTTGTCTGAACAAGGTTAGAAAAACATCTGTCAATCAAAGTAGAGACATTCATGAACCCTAGGAGAGTTATAGCCTAAAGATAGGACCATGAGGATGCTGTGCACAGCATGGCTGAAAGGGACTGGGGACAACAGGTGGCTTTATTAAGTCCCATCGTCAAGCTCTGGTGAGGTCACAGTGTGGCTGCCTAAGGAAGTGTGGCAGTGTTCACATAGGAAATTGCTCTACAATGTCTCAAGGCAATAAGATGAAAAGTAAAAAGACCTTACACATTCCCTACTTTTTCTGTTAGTCTTTGTTCCAAAGAAAGGATATTACTTCAGTAGCTTCAGATGAATTTTAGAAATAAATAAAATATCTACATTTTTCTGGGAGTGCCCAGAAGTCCATTGGGTCCCCACACACCCACACTGTCAGTTCTGTCCACAGGAGACACAGCTATCCTGATAGTCCCCTCCAGCCAGGGCTCAGCCCCAGCACCACCAAGTTTGTTAACTGTACCTGCCCCCAAATTGTGCATGTGGTGTGGGGCCAGTCTTCCTCCTCCCACTCCCACTCCTTAATATGCACACATATACCATTTCCTCCATTGCATCTCACAGGTTGAGGCTGCAGCCAGGGCTTCAGCCTAGAAGGTAGAGACGTTCATCACAGTTCAGTTGGGAAAAGGAACACTTAACCTCCAAACTGGAGTGAGGTCACACTCCTCCGTTCCAGCACTGTGTCTTGCCATTGGGGAAAGCTAACCTCAAACTATTCCACACGGCCATGGTCCAAGCCAAAGGCACAGTGACCACAGACTTTCTTTCCTCACTGTAAGGCTCTGACTCTATCTCAAGAGGGAGTGATTTCCCAACACCAGTGGGTACATTCTCCCCTGTTCACCTTCCACTTTTTTCCTTTCAGCATGTGGCATGAACGTCCATCACCGATGCCAGACCAAGGTTGCCAACCTCTGTGGTGTAAACCAGAAGCTAATGGCTGAAGCCCTAGCAATGATTGAAAGCACCCAACAGGTAGGGAGGGCGTTAAGTGGACAAATCCCCTATCCCATGCCCACTCAAGTCCTCACTCTGACCTGCACCAGCCCCATAGAACTTTCTGGAATGTATTTCCAAGCACTTGCCTTGCTCCTATCTTTCATCTTCACACCCATGCTACTCCCTTTCAGGTTTTTATTTACTTAATGCATTTGTAGTGTGTGGATCTTTGTAACATTTTAATTCTTTATTTTATGTATTTATTTATTTATTTGTTTATTTATTTATTTATTTTTCGGAACCGGGGATCGAACTCAAGACCTTGTGCTTTTGAGGCAGTTGCTGGCACCACTAAGCTAAATCTCCTGCCCCATGTAACATCTTAAATTCTTTATGGAATGAGCAGAAGCAGAAACAAATTCATTAAAATTATTGCTGCTTTGTACCTATACATTAGAGCTATGTAGTACCCTGGGAAAATACTTATTTGCTCTAGTAAATTCATCACCAGAATTCTCTCCAAACAAAAATCCATGGAAGTTTTTGCCTTGCTATTTACACCTTAGCACTGGCTGAACTCTCATATATAGAAATAAATCTTCTTTAAGACTTGGCATTTCTCATATAAACTACTTTTCCATTGACCTGTTCTTATTGGCCACAGAAGGATGTAGATAGCATGGGAGATTCCAGATAGCCCCCAGAAAAGAGGGAAGGAGCTAAGTACATTCTGCTGGTGCACTAAATACAATAGACCCTCACAAGGTAAGGAATCCTAAAAAGGTGCTGAAGAGGAGCTTTTGTTGTTCTGTACATTTAGGAATCTTAAATGGCTTTTGTTCTCTTGGACAACAGACTGAGCTAGCCCACAATGGGTGGATGGTCTGACTCTGTTTGTAATTTAGGCTCGCTCCTTAAGAGATTCAGAACACATCTTTCGAGAAGGTCCAGTTGAAATTGGTCTCCCATGTTCAGTCAAAAATGAAGCAAGGCCTCCATACCTAGCAACAACTGGGAAAAAAGGTAATTATCATAGTGGTCCAGTATGGACGAATGGTGAATCAACTTTAACGTCAGTTCTCTGGATTTAAGTGCTCAGTTTACCTGGTCAGTTAAGAGTCAGTTTTCTATTTAACGATTATAGACTGGACCACCAACTAAGAGGCTCCTACCTCTTAGAAGTAAAACTGAAATATCATGCCTCACTGAGATGTTTTTTATAAGGGGGTGAGCAATGGGAGGAAAAAAATAGGATAGATCTGGAGGAAACAGCTGAAAGTGTTATCTTAGAATTTTTGAATATTGCTTCCTAACCATGTTAAATGACCTTACAGAAATAAATCTATCCTAAAGCACAATGGTGGGAATATCACCAAAGATGTTCTTATTCTTGGAGACTTCTTTGGAAATGTTAAGGGTGGAAAAGAAGAACAGCCAGGCTGAAAATCCTTAACATTTATGACATTCTGGAATTTTATCCAGCCTGCTATTTGAAGATGGTTCATGGGAAGATATGAACACATGATTCTGAGACCTGAATCATCATACACTATAAATTACTTTCTTTGGGCTTAGAGAGAATGTAAAAGAATATTTAAAAATAAAAGCAATGTTGTAATGGGAGGAATCCCCCCCCCCCCAGATTTTTGTACACCACTTCTGGTATTAGGCAAGAGCTAAATTGACATGCAGATTTTTTTTAAAAGATTTAAATTAGATTTAGGAAGGATCACCAAGCAGTGAAGTAGACTTCGTCTCAGCAATGATCAGTGCAGGCAGCATCTTGATGTGAAGACTGTAATGAATGATGCAGTTCAGATCTTTAACAGTCTGTTAGATTTTATTCTCTCTGCCCTCACATTGTGATTTATAGAAATTAATGCCACTGGGCCTATGAGACAAGGAAACAATTGAAAATTATTTTTGCCCTCAAACTTGATTAAATTTTCTATTTATCCATGATCTGACATTATTAAAAGAGCTCATTCATTTTGCACATGTGGTCTTTTGTTGATTGGAATTTTTTTCTTAAATTGAACTATTTCCCAGTCTGTCGGTTAAACAGAGACAGTCCATAGCCCAAAGGCCAGACTCCCAAACAGATAGAGAGGTATTGAAGTTGCCTGAAATACGGAAACCTCCCTGCCCTCTATCTAGTTATTGTGGATGGAGCCTCAGAAGAAGTAGAAAAAAGAACAGATCCTCTAAGTAACTATAATGACCCTCCATCACTCCATGTTCAAGTTTAACCATTGGCTTGTCATTTTCAGAGCCTCAAGGAATCTCCTGGGACTCTCCATTGGATGAGACAGATAAAGTGTGCCATCAACCAGAACCTGAACCAAACATAGAAAGACCAACTCTGTACATGAAGCTAAAAATTGATGATTTCATGTTGCACAAGATGCTGGGGAAGGGAAGTTTTGGCAAGGTATGCTACCATGCTATAGGATTCTATGGACCAGATTCCAGGGACTAAAGAACTAAATTCTTGAAACCAGAGTATAGATTTGTGGATAGAACATTCTTGATATGTTGTAAGAGGACTGAGGACATCTCTGAATAAATGGAGATTTAGAGAGCTCTAGGGCAACAACAGCCTCCAATTCCTGCCAGTTTGCTTTGAGGGTACACACCCCTCACACTCATGCGATTGATGTTTCTGGGTAACAAAGAAACAAGAAGGTTCTTTGGCCATTTACTGTTTCATATGCATTTTTTGTTTGTCTGATTGATTTGTTTAGTTTTTTCTCCTCTATTGGTTCTTCCTTGAGCATGGGATGTTAGTTTTACTTCATATGTAATTTTTTTTTCTACCAAATGTCTCCAGGCATGTATTAGTTTGCTAAAGCTGCTATAACAAAATACTGCATCCTGGGCAACTTAAACAGCAGAAATTCATTCTATCACAAAGATCAAGGTGTTGGCAAGGTTGTTTCTTCCTGTATCTCTCTCATTAACTTGTAAGTGACCACTTTATCCCTGTATTTTCATGTCATTTCCTCTCTGTGCCTGTCTGTGTCTAAATTTTCTCTTTTTATATGGATGCCAGTCATGCTGGATTAAGGTCCAGCCTAATGACCTCACTTAAACCTTAATTGCTTCTTCAAATGCCTCTTCTCCAAATATGGTCACATTTTTAAGTACTAGCAGTTAAGACTTCAACATATGAAATGAGGGGAATGGAGAGGGCATAGCTTAGGCCTGTAGCTTTAGAGAGTCCTAAGAAAAGTTTCATGGAAAAATTTTTTCTTCAAAATCCTTCCTGCCACACACTCAGGTTACAAGCTGTCTGTGTTACTTCACAGAAGGCAAGTAAGAGGAGGAGAGGATGGGAAGAACAAGGAAGAAAAAGAGGAGATGAGAAAGAAATAGACATAATTTAAGAAATTATCAATGACAGCTGAAAATTTTCAACCTAGTGGTTGTGTAAGGAAAGATGATACAGAATGTATAGACTAAGTTATTTTATATATTAAGGGTACATAATGTATTAATGGGGCTCCTGGTTATTTTATATTCTTAAATGCAGCTCCCAGGAAAGATTTAATCAAAGACTACTGTCCCATGAGTTTATGCATCCAAAGCTAGCATTATGCTGAGCACCTGCTCGCCATACTTTAGCAAGAAAACTTATTCAGTTAATTTAATAGTAAACTAAAATGCAACTGAGCATCCACCACAGCTAAATGATATCATGCTCCAAAAGGCTTGGATTTAAACACCAGTGCATTATCATTGAACAAAATCTACTCCATCCTCCAAACTGTAGCTGGAATCCATGAATTCTTTTAGTTCATTTCCACAGTAACATGAACCACACAACAGGCTCATTTGGTTTTAATCTGGGTGTAATAGGCAATTTTACAGCCAGTCTTTATTATAATTTAGCAGCAATTAATGTGCAATTCTACCTGTTACCAAAAATTGAAAGCACATTGTATAGATGGAAATTGCCTTTTCAGCTTCTTAGTTTATGGCTGGTTTTAGGATGTTTTACTGAAAGAAGCAACTACCAAAACAGTACTTTTAATTGTTAATGAAATGTTTATCTTTCTTTTTTCCCATGTGGATTTCTACATTTGAACAAAGTTAATAGGAAAGACATTAAGCCTGAAATGGTGGTGCATGCCTGTAATCCCAGCACTTGAGAGGCTGAGGCAGGAGGATCACTGTGAGTTCGAAGCCAGCCTAGGCTACATAGTAAGATCAAGCCCAGTCTGAACTACATAGTGAGTCTTTGTCTCAAAAAAAAAAAGACATTAAATTAAACAGACAAGCTTTAGAAAATATTCCAAGGGGCAGCTTGAAACTCTAGGTATCCTCCACTCTATGTCCAAAGCAGAATATATCTTTCCATAGGGACCTTGGATCTCTGTGCAGTGAGAGGACAGAAGGGGACACACCAAAGCAAGTTGGGATGTCTCCATTTCCCCTTTCACAACACTCAACAGTCTTTCAAGAAGACTCCAAAATGTTTATTTCCTCTTGCTTTTCACTCTGTATAATAAGTATGGGTCCTCATCAAAATGGTAGCCTGCATACTGTTGTTCGAAATCTGTTTTAAAGCCCAGGAGAACAAATTGTATGTTGTCTAGGGAAATGAACATTATCATCTAAGTATCTCCTCTTAGTTCAGCTACCATGAATCTGCATAATATTGTTTTAAATCTACACACTCATATTTGCATTGCCAGCACTAGTTAGGTTTCACTGATTTCCACATTCCCTAAAAGTCATAGAGACAAATGCCAAGTGTTCTTTTTTATTTTATAAAAAATTAAAACAAAATTTCATAACCAAATAATAAGAAAAAAACAATAGTTATTACACTGTGTATTGTTATCCCAAAAGTAGTTACTTATTACAAGACATAAAACAAAATTATTTTTTAAAAAACAGATAATACAAACTTTATTTTCAACAAGCTATAATAAACTAGTAGTATAGATGAAACAAAAAGGAAAAATAAACTTGAGGTATTTGAGGTAAATGGGTGCAACTTGAGAACATAATGTTAAGTGACACACTTAAGTCAGACACACAAGCTCAACTATCCCATGGTTTCTTTCATATGAGAAACTACATATATACAAATAAATATACAAATAGAAGAAAGATAAATAAGAAGTAAGGAGAAGTTCAAATGCTTCCCCAAATTACATACTCCCTCGTTTTAAAAATATTTCAACGACAAGTGTTCTTAATGATTTCTTTTAGGGAGCATTTTATAGTTTACAAATCACTTTCCCATATGGTATCTCATTTCATTTTCACAATTGTCCTATAAGTCAGAGAATGCAGCAATATTTATTCCTTCTCATACAAGAAACTGAAGCCCAGAGAGGTCAATTGCTTTGTCCACCTGTTCACAGCTAGACAGTATCTGTGAAATGCTGCCAGAGCTGGAGTTTTCTGAGTCCGAATGCCAAGTTCTTAGCACTGCCAGGAATCCTCTGCTGCATCATATGCAAATCTAAAGTCTTTGTGTGTCATCTGGCCCCTGCTGATATAAGATACATGAAATCAAGTGGAAAAAAGTACACGTTAGAGTTAGTTCTTCCACTGAGTTGTTCCACAAGTTTGAGCAAGTTACATTACTCTCTGAACTCAGTCTGTGTGGGGGGGTATTATTATTATTATTAGGAGCCATATGTTAAGAGCAGTATTATGAGCTAAAAAAGTGGATAATAAAATTAGATAGCACACAAAGTACATAGCAGACTGACATGTAGTTGCTCTTAAAAATGTTACTTACTTCTATGTCATCAATAGTGTCTACTTTTTAAGTACATAGAAAGACTATATCCCTCAAATATTTTTTTTTGCCTCATGAAACTGGTTGAAATGTAAAGTTCTGCGTCCATTATCCATGATATTTCAAGTTCAGTACTATTCTTCCTTCAGTATGAACTCTGTATCTCTGAATTTTTATTATGCATGTAGATCCTGGATACCCAGGGCATAGCTTTTTAAATAGAATTTTTCATGTTCTGAGAATAAACATGTAATCACAGAATAATTTCAAGAAACCCCTGAAAGGTACAAAGACAATATGAAACTGTTATGTAATATCCTAAGCCAATGAGATGTCCCATTTTGTCTCGGTAACATCCCACAGGACAGACAAAAATTGGAGAAAGCTCCCCTTTTTTCCCACCCAGAATAGGCCTCTCTCAAACACTTTGCCTTGTCTTTAATGAGTGTGAATGCAAATTCTTAAATAAAATACTTCTTCTTCTTCCTTCTAGGTCTTCCTTGCAGAGTTCAAGAAAACTAATCAGTTTTTTGCAATAAAAGCTTTAAAGAAAGATGTAGTTTTGATGGACGACGATGTTGAGTGTACCATGGTAGAGAAGAGAGTCCTGTCCTTGGCCTGGGAGCATCCATTTCTAACACACATGTTCTGTACATTCCAGACCAAGGTATGACTTCTGCTCAGACAGCCTTCCTCCCCCTCCAAACTGTCCTAAGCCTCTGGTGGTGGCCTTCTTTGTAGACATAGGCTATTGTCTCCATTTTTATCTTACTACTTTTCAGTCCAGTTTCCATCCATCTGTCCATCCCTCCAAAAGAGTATCATCTCTTTTAAACACCATGGAAATATTACTTAGAATTTTTTAATGTAGTCTGTTGAGAGACTTTTACATCTAGGTCTGTTTGTTGGTTTAATTGGATTTGTAGAATTTGATTTAACATAGCAAAACCACCAGGCATCTAAGCAGTTGGTGACTTGAAGGGGAAAATATAAACTTGTTCATTCATTTACCATGTGTGTATGTAAAAAGACAAATATTGGAAATACTTAAAATATGTATGCTCTATTGCTTCCCTTTGAAATACTGGCAGAAAAAGTGGCCCATACATGGACTGGGTCAGCTGAGCCACTGGTGGGCCAGGGGCCCCTTTCCTTATATTAATCTTGTGAGAAGGTGTTACCATTCTAGGAACACTCTTTCACTTAAAAAAATTGTAAATTATTTTTTTCTGACTCATGTTATTCAGAACCATTGTAGAGTATTTGGAAAATGCTTGTAAGCATTTATAAGAAAAAATCATTTATAATCCCACCATAGACTCTTAATACTATAAAATTTATCCTTCTAGATTTTTCACTTGTATGGATTTCATCAAATAAAAACATCAACCCACCGTAAATATCCACCATTCTGTAACATGCTTTTTAAACCTTCTATTATATTCATTTCCTCATATCTGTGGATATTCTTCTACAATGTAGTTCATTAATTTGAATTTGCTTTTTGTTCTGACTTAAATAACATTGAAATAGACATCCTCACTCTTCATACAGGAGCATTATGATTTTTCTTTCCTAATTTTTCTTGCCTTCACCCTATTCCCATTATATAAAGCCTAGAATAATAAGCAGACACATGTGGGACCCTGAGATTAAGGTCCAAACAGCACGAAGTGTGGATTATTTTCCCCTTTTTCTGTGTCAAGTCAAATCTTCATATGAGCCATAGAAGGCCTCTAAAGTGTCTTCAGCCATGGAATGAACTAATGGGGAGTCAGCTAGGAGATGCAGGTGGCACCCTGAATTCCTCCACCATTTCTGCAGCTCCCAGTCAATTCTCAATAAATATTTTACTGAGCAAATAAGTGAATAATGCACTTACTTAAAATAAAGAGAAAACAGCCCATGACAAGGTACTGTGCATATACTATTTTCAAAGCACTGTGAGAGATACAGAAATAGATAAAACAGATCCTGACTGGAGAATTGCATGCTCTAATAAAAGATCATGCAAATTAATACACTTAGAAATTAGAGTCTGAATAGGCAGAAAGGACATCGGGCATTTTAGCTTGAGGCTTTAGGAGAAACACTTGAAGGAATAAAGGGAGAAAGCAAAGTGAAAATAGGCTCATTTCTTAAAACAGGAACAAAGTTGGAGTTTCTGGTTATGAAAGTTAGATCTACTAGCAACTTCCTCATGGGAATGATGAAGCTGTTGGTCTAGATGTTATTGATACGTTACATGAGGTCAAAGTGGCAAATTCTGTCTCCTTCTCTTAGCCCAAAGTGTTTTCCAAATTCTCCCAGGCCATATGCTAGATTTATTAGGTATCTTGGGGGCTGCTTGTAATTTCCCTGTTCCCCTTAGAATATTGTGAAGCTTATAGAAAACAGAAGTTACACTTCAGACTGGGCTTCTAGAAGCAATCAAGCATTCAAGCTTAACTTGACATTTTTTTCCACTAGTGTATGTGTATGTACATACATTGTACGTATGGCTGTTTTCCTATCTTATGGAGAAGGCTGTTAGGAATCCCACTTTGTGGATAATAGGTGCATTCCCTTCTCTTGCTTATCTAACACAGCTTTGACTATTTGCTTCTTTCCCTTTTATAGGTAATACTCCTAATGTTCCATGCAATTTTGATGCTTTAACAAGAGCAGAGATGTCAATGTATTAGTGACGCTCCCTGCAAGAAAGGGGAAAAAAGTAGTGGAGAAGGTGCTTATCAAATGTAAATGTGACTGGTTCAGCATTTAGGAATAAGAAAAGAAAAGAAAGTAAAAGGAAAGGAAAGAGAAAGGAAGGGAGCTTGTGTTACATGTTGCCAAGGACCCTGCATTATTGCTTTTGAGAGGTTCTGATTTATTATTCAGACCTTGCATGTCAAAGTAACTGATTAACTACCCCAAATGAATTTAAAAAGCAACAATATCTGACAGCTGATGAGCTCTGGGAACATTTGAAGACATGATTTTTTTTGAGGGGACAATTATCTTTGTACACTAGCAAAGGCAGTAGATAAGATAAATTAGTTGTTTACTTCTCTAAGGAATTGTTATTTTTCAGAGAAAGTTATTCATTGGCTTTGTGCCTCCAAGGAGAGCACCTGTTGAATATCAGAGTATTCAGGAGGTGTTTAGGGAGCTTATTCACTCATTGTTTATCAGAAGCATGTAGATTAAATTATTTAAGATTTTTGAAAGTCATAAATGAGGGATGTATGACCTGTTGCAGGGGGTAAATGCCTACTGTGATCCAAAAAAAGGTGAATATTTAAAAAATTTTTAATATATTACAGTAAATGACACATTACCACTAATGTCCTTCACTTTGAATGCACATATCCAACTTGCCACTTTTTGTAGTGGTGGAAGTCCTCTTTCATGTCTTTAGTTGAACAATAATGGTTGCTTTGATGTCCTTAATTGATTCAACACATTTACTTTTTGGGTCATTTTGACTTTGGCGACAGCCAGAAGTCAAACAACATCAGATTCATCGAATAAGGTGGATGAGGACACACTCTAATGTTTTCGTTGGATAGAAAATGCTGTAAACAGTTGATCAATGAGGGATGATCAAAAATTGGTAAATATTTAAATTTTAAAATAATTACAGTAAAAGGCACACTGCCATCGATCCCCTTCAAAATATTCAAAATACTCCCCCTCCCTTCAAATACACTTATCCCATTATTCTTGTCAATATCTCTTTTACTGTAATAAGTTTTTTAAGGGTAAATATTCATTGTATTTTTCAATTGTTCCTTGTACAGTAAAGAACTTTAAGAAGCTCCAAGGAGTGAGGGAGCTGTCAACTTGGGTGTTGATGATTGACCCCAGTTCTGCTGTTGGCCAGTGGGACTCTGAGGCTACCCCGCCTCTCCTGCCCAGGACAGAGAGGGAGAATTATGGTGCAAACCCTATTCCCCATGGGGAAAAACAGCTCGGGCCCCAGGCATACAAACATCCCATTGATGTACCTGAACCTGAACCTAAGTGAAGCTCAAAAGCATCTTCCAAGTTGATTTTCTCAGAGCTACATGGAGATGACCTTGTACGTCCCTCAAGCTCTGGCTTGAGCCACTGGCATTGGAGCAGATCAGTATTTTGAGGGGTTGTTAATGTCTTAGCTGGACCAAGAGTATCTTTCTATTTATTTTCCACTAACATTTATTTGTTCTCCCTTAACAATTATAGTTACTATGCTTCACATGAATGTTCACAAGGCTTATAATTGCATGGATTTTTTTCTCAGTGGCCATGTCAGTGTGAATGCAACTGGATCTTAAACCTAAATGTTCAACACTTGTTTTTCATAATTTATATTTTTTATAAAATTTTTTATAAAAAAACTTTATAGTAAAATATAGGGGAGAAATTCACCATAAAATTTTCCCACTGGGATCTTTTTATTATAAATCTTTTTAACTGAATTCACTAACAAGGGAATTTAAAAACTGGAAAAAATAAACATAAAACTTTGAAGCCCCATTTCACAAATTTATTTCAAAAGTCACTTTTAAATTAATTCAACAAATTCTTCTTGGGGACCTGCTCTTTGCAGTTCTGTATTTTTTCCCCAAAGCTGCTGGACTTAAAAATTGTATGTGTGTAAATTACAAAGTTATTTATTTTTTATATGTAATCTAATTAATACATAGAAGAAAAAGACCCACCTAACATGGACAAAAGATGTCCTATTTTCTTGATTTTAAGATATCATTAATAATTAGGTGCATTATTAATTCTCTTAGCAAAAAAGCAAAATTATTTTCAACACTGCATATATTAGAAGCCATCTTCCAATTTCAGAATCACCTAAATGTGCAACAACATTTTTGCCTATTAGAAATGAATTTGGCTTCCAATAATGGGAAAGTAACAATAGCTTAAATAAGATGGAAGTTTCTCTGTGTTCTCTCTCTCTCTCACACACACACAAAAAATCAGATATGTATGTTCAGAGCAGCTGTAAAAACGCCACAGTCATCTAAGATACAGCAACCATCTGTTTCTCTGTTCCATCATCCACAGCACTGGGCTTCCAGCCTCAAAGTTTCTTCTCATTCCACTGTGGCTGCTGGAGCCCAGCCCTCACAGCCACATTGCAGTCAATAAGCAGGAGAGATAAAGAAACGAGCACACGGCAACTGTCATGTAACAAGTATATGCCTTCCTTATTACAGCATTCTTATATAAGGCCCTTAAAAATAATAACAACAAACTTCTGCATCATCACTTTGACCTCTCTGTAACTGCAAGGAAAGCTGGGAAATGAAATCTTTCAGCTGGGCATAGAATAGATTGGGTTTTGGTTTGGTTTGGTTTTGATTTTACTAAGAAAAATAGGCAAAATATATTTTTAAATGAAGGAAATACAATAAGAGCAACTCTTGTCAAGAGCTCATTATGTGCCAAGATAGGTTCCTAGGAACTTTGAATATATCATGCCATTTAATTTTGTTAACCTTGACAAAGTATACATTAGTATTCACGTTTTACCCATGGAAAAACTGAGGCTCTTTAGAAATATAAACTTCCCTACAAGCTTGTCATTGGACACAATGTTGAACCTTACCACTTGTCTGTGTCTAAATATTGACCTCCTCTATACTCACACAATGTCAGTATTCTAGTGACATGCACCTCTGTAGTAAC